AATCCATCTAAACAGCTGTATTTAAAGTTGAAAATGTGTCTTCAAGAAAATTGCCCCTGTAACCACAATCTTTTCTATGTGTGTGTATTGTGTATGATGCATGAATCTTGAAATTATGTGCTTTTGTGTAAACTCCGGGGGAACTCAATATCAATATCCTATATCGACACATAGTGGCAAACATAAAAAAATATTGAGAATTGGCATTCACTATGCGCATGTATGTCATTTTTCATCTCATTTTCAACTAATCCCATACTTTTCAGTTTTTAATCCTTGCGAATTGGAAGTCAAACGAAAATAAAGGATAATAAACAATATTAACAACATGACTTGTTTTTCACCATAAATGTTCCCAATTACTCTAAGCAAATTAGCAGTAAAAATAACGAATAGAAGAGAAAAATTATAACGTTTAGAGATTTTAGTACTAAACTCCCAGTAGAAAGCCAAGTACACATCCAAAGAATTCCCACCCACCCAGGTGAGAGCTTCATCCCATTTGGTTCACGACCCACTGCGCTTTTCAGTGCTTTACTGGACTGTCTACCAGTAAAGCGTCGAGAACATGTTATATGACTTTTTATATTCTCGATTAAATTGTTGTATAAAATAAAATGTTATCTGTTAGTATTATGATATATGATTTTTTTAATTCCTGTGATTCTGTACTTTGAGATCGTGTCCACACCATACCTAATATAGATTAGAGTTTTTTGTCCTATTTTGAAGTGGTTTTCTCTGTAGGCCTATTTCACTAATGAAATATAACTATTTAATCATCTGCCCGTGCAAAATCGTTCACCTGGACGGCATTTAAATAATTTTGTGGATGAAAGTTAGAGCACGTTAATAAAAATTAATACTTCTGCCTTTTTTGGGAAAGGAAAATCACAAACTATGAACTGAATAAATACAAGAAACGATTTACAAGAAATGGTGGACGTATTCAATGAGCATTCATCAGCTTTATACAATGCAAGACTAAGCGACATAGAAACGAGCTCGAGATACAAAACCACAGGTATGGTCTGTTCATAGATATAAGAAAGTGACCAATTGCTTCCAAGGGTGGTCATTAACATAAAATGCAACAAGTTTATTACCTAAAGTTTCGGAATTTAAATTCAGGTAAAATTGTGGTCCGTAATTGAAAATAATTTTATACGTACCTGTGTTTAATATTCTTTGGTTTGGTATACTACTTAGTTTAAGTTTGTTAGTAATCATTCTTATTTCGTGTGTAATACAGCGTGTGTTGAATCGTGTGCGAATTATGCAAAATATGTGCGAGTCGTGGGAGAAAACACTATTCTGTTTATTTGACTCTCATTGAACGCGGTGCCAGAAGAAACGGCCACATTGACGAAAATTCCAACATCAACTGTATGGGAAATTGTGAAAAGAAGCGATGCTGATATTTTCACGAGTGTAGATGAAAGTGATCAAGATATAATACGGCGTAAAATTTACCATACGAGGAACAAAGCGTGCCTACATTAGATATCTTAATTAGGAGGCTTGAAAAACATGAAACCGGTGTTAAATGTGGCAGAACTACCGTATGGAAGTGTATTCAACACATGGATTTTAGATTTAAAAAAATTGACAATAGGCAAGTTTTAATGGAATTTTTTGAATTCGGAAATGGCGACTGAAATATATAGAAAAAATTAGGATTTACAGAGAACAACAAAGGCCAATTATTTACTTGGATTAAACCTGGTTCGACACTTATGATACCCCGGAGAAGGGTTGGATTGACTCAACTGATAAGTGTAAAACAAACGCGCCATCAAAAAGAGGTAAAAGAATAACTATTTTGCATGTTGGCTCAAAAGATGGTTGGATTCCAAATGGATTTTCTCTGTCTGCGAAAAATATTAAAGATTCTTCTCTGGATTACCATGAAGACACCACCGCTGATTTATTTCAAAGTTGGTTTAAAAACCAACTAGTTCCAAACATTCCTCCTAATAGCGTCATTGTAATGGACAATGCAAGTTATCACAGTAGACAGTTGACTAAAATCCCTTCCTCATGTGATACAAAAGCAACAATCCAAAACTCATGTATAATAACGACATTTATTTTCACGAAGATTATACCAAAAAGCAATTAAATTGAGGTTCTACAAAGCTTGAACCTACAAAAGGAATACGTCCGTGATAATTATGCAAAAAATTTATTGCATACAGTTTTACCTTATCACTGTATATTTAATCCCATTGAAGATGTTTGGCACCAACTGAAATCTGCCATTCGTCGTAACAATGTTTTTCCCCGTGTTACCTCCAATGTCCTCAAACTTATAGAAACCGAAGTTTTTAACATCCCTCCACAGAGTTGGGCAAATTCTGTTAAACATATAGAAAAAGCAGAACAATCGTATATCCATATTGCAAATAATATAGAACATAGTGATACTGATATATCATTTGAATTACTTTAAGTAATTTGAGTAGGTAATAAAAATAATTTGTAATTTTATTTTAGATTTAAACATAAATAAATACATAAATAAATAAATATTATTTAGTATCTTTCCTAACAAAACCCCAAATAATTAAATTCTAAGCAAAGTACGGACCTGTTTGGTCATAGTTCATTCTTACAGCTTGCCCGGGTCTTTCCTTAATTCGTATCAGTTAGTCACTTTCTTATATCTATGAACAGACTTTACAAAAAACATATGACCATTATCACTTGCTTCTAAATGTTAGGGAATAGAGAAAACTGCTTTTTAACTTCGATTGTGTTCATTTTTGGCTCATTCTCGGGACAATCGCCCCAAAAAATGGCACTGGGCTAATTTTTCTCTTCCCGGTGAGAACTATGTCTATTTTCTAATGTCATTTAGGAGCATTGGGTAGAAGACAAGGACATAATATAACAATTTTATGTGTTATTTAATAGAGAATAGAAGAAGTCATATAACATTTTCTCGTCGAATTAACGGTTTACGAGCAAACGGAGAAAAGCGCCATTAGGTCACCATTTGAGGTGGTTTTTTAAGCCATCTTCTTCAGTGTTTGGTTTCCTACTGGGAGTTTAATACCAAAAGTGTTATTTTACTACACTAAATTACCTGTGAAAAAATTAGAAGTAGTTGTGATCTTACCGTCTGCTTGTATAGCCTTTGTTAAACGATTCAAACGTCGACATGGATTAAAAATGAGGTGTCACAAGCCCCCAACGTCCCTCCGCCCATGTCGCGTCGGGCGAATGACACGACGAATTTTACGACACGATATAGACGGACCATTCTATAATGGAACGCTGCTCGGTTGGCGCTTCCTGTCCGCATGTAAATACGGCCAATTACATTCGTACGAAAAACTTGTAAATGTTTACAAACAAAAATTATCAGGCAGTCGTTTGCCATCGTAGTTGTCGGCGCGTGCCGGCATTTTCGTCGCGAATTCGAAGCAATTAAAGTCGGGAAACATAATTAAAAACAGAGTTTTATTGAAAATAGAAACATCGTGATACATTCAGCATTTTTCGAGATATTTGGTTTTGATTTTTAATGACAGCAACGAAAAAGTATAGTATGACCACCGATCTATCGAACTTTGTATCGTTCATTGAATTGATTGATTGACCAGTTCATTCTACCTTCATAAACGATACTAAAGGATTATTCGGGGATCGGTTATCGGTTTTTGTGGTGTTAGGTTTATGAGAAATGCCACAACAACATCTTACGATGCAGTTTATTTTTATTGTATTTAAAGTGTAATGTGGAGTTTTGTAGAATTCGGAGCATTACTTGCAAAACGTTAGAAGGTTAAGTTAAAGGTTAAGAGATATTAAGAGAGCTTCTTGGAACATATTAGTTGAATTTAAAAACATATATCGAGAAAATTTTGCTATTTTTTAATGAATCGTGAAAATCAAATTGTTTACCAGTTACTAAATGATAAATAACGATGAATAAAATTTTGACTTCAAAACTTAGACTACACAAAAGGTTTTTTTATATGTTATTTAAATTAAAATTAAATTTCAAACAAAAATTAATTTTTTGTTTGAACGCAAGGTGTCTGGTTTTGTGTAGTCACGGTATGATAATTTTTCTGTTTATCATCGTATTCATTAAAAAACAAACTTTTATTATTAAAAAAATAATATGTATTCCTACCTTTTTAAGGTAATGTTAGTTTAGCATAAAGCTCAATAAAACTATGAAACTGCTTTTAAAGCAAAAACTTTTGAACCGCTGGAACAAAAATTTTTAAACTCAAAACTTGTAAAAATTATTAAACGATTTTTTAGGGTATTTTGGGTTTTGCAAACTTTTCTTTAATATTTTTTTCGATTATGTTCAGCGTGTTGTGTCAGTTATGGAAAAAAAACAAAAAGTTCCTAAAAATTCCCATTTTCTGGGGTAGTTGGCAATGAATAAAGTTGAGTGCTATTTTGAAAGGCACTATATATAGGATGCATGCACCAAATAATTCCATTTATTGTGCATAGTGGTGCGCACAAGCACTATTGAAAAAAAAACTATTTCTTGTAGATACAGTACTAAAGTCAATTTTTGATCCGTTCGCTCAAAGTTAATGTCTGATTTTCTGAACTGAACTATGAACATTTTTATGCAAATTAAACGGACTTTGCTGATTTTGAATGATTCAATTCTTGCTTTTTACAAAACTTCTGGATTCCTCCTGCGTCGGTTTTTGCTAAGACTAAGCAAAAACCGAGGCAGGAGGAATCCAGAAGTTTTGTAAAAAGCATTACAGTAGCCTGTAGAAGTTTCTTTAAAAAAAAAAGATTAAATTCTTATATTACGAATTCATGAAATATTTAACGTAAATCTATTCATTCCCATTTTATGTAAATAGGAGATGGCTTGGATTTCAATGGACGCTCCACGTTTTATTTGTTATTTACAATTACTTGCACAAATGATCGTTATGAAACGGATTTTACATACGGGGACTGGGGAAATACCCATCGGCGCCGTCGCTGGCGCGACGCGTCGCTCAATTAAACCACTTAATCGACTTACTGCTGGCAATTCTCGGGCTTTTAATTTCTCTCGGTACCAATTGAACTCTCCGAAACCCTTCATTTGTACAGTATACATGCAGCGTATACAGATAAATAAATGACTAACCGCATGGGAGTGTCGTCATTTATTACAGACAAACACACACTATACGCGGAAAATCTTATCAATGAACGGAGTAGAACGTTCTCAGTACATTCAGTATTTGCTCGGAAATTACATTAAGAACATCTCGTCTTTTAAAGTCGTCTTTTCTCTGGCGGGAACGCGTTCAATACCTGCTTAGTTAACACGTGGTCCAATTCATAAAGTTTGTTATTAAGTTCCCCAAAACCGTAAGAAAAATACTGCACAGTGGTCGAATTTCTAAAAATGACTGGAAAATATATTTGAAAATTTGGAGTCGCGTCAAGAAATGGGTAATCGGGCTGTGGAACAAATATTTGACATTGTGAAATATTTTCTGTTCAGGCATTTTTAAACATGTATCAGCTTTCGCCATCTGTCAACACTCAACTGCCACAAAAAGTCAATTTAAAATTAAAACTAAAGACAATCTGTTAGAAGCTGGTTCTGAATTTTCAAGGTGATGTCGGTAACGCCATGAATTTGAAATGTATGGAGTTGAGTGTCCATATGGAGGATCTACCCAAAAAATTAAAAAAAAAGTTCCTCTTTATGAAGTTGAAATCAAAATTTTCAAAAAATGACGAAAATATGTAATGTAATATTAATTTTTCAAATAAAATAATCGATCCTGTCGATTCACAAAAGAGCATTTAAAATATCTTTCATCATTGTTAAAACAATTTATTTTTAAAAAAGTTTCGAATATTTGAAATGGTCTGATTTAAGCGAAATATGTCACTTAGTTTTAAAATTAAATTTATGTTTTATCAAATAATACTGTAGATTTCGTATGTTTCTTCTATTAGCTATAATTAACGTCCGTATCTGATAGAATATATGAATTTTTCAATTAAACATGAAACGTATTTGGAAAATAGGAAACTAAATGATTTTTCAGTTATATCATAGACAAAATTTTCAACTGGCATTTGACACGATTTATACATTCAATAATTTTGAGTCTATTTGATATTAAACCCAACTAGGAAAACCGTATTCAATTAGTGTGATATATTTATTCTAAACTTGTAACTTTGCAAGTATACAGGGTGTTTCAAGAAACGCCAACGCGTGTGCGAAAACTTTTACGTCTTGGGCTACATGCCTGCAATGAGGTTGATAGTGGACATTTTCAACGTTTTTTTAGTATACATTTTTTTGAACGAAGTTTATGGTGATTAAATAATTATAATTAATAATATAACTAAAACGAGTCATGACACGAAAACAACCCAGGAGTCAAAAAAATTGTATTTTTAGTAACTTATTCAAAGTAACTAATATAAAAAGTAAATTTTATCGTTCCCTTTGTGTCTTGTTTTCTGTTACATTGTTGTTTTTAACTTTCTGCCGCCTCAACACCACTCAACGCAGTTGGTATGCTGATACTCCAGTTGCTTATTCTTTGTGTTGAAATATTTTTTAAATATGATGTTTTTGTAAATTTTTTGGAGGGGAATAATAAATTTCGTCAGTGGATTTCACAATTTTTATTTGGTTAAAGCAAAATTATCTCTTTATCATTATAAATGACATCACCAAATTTTAACAAAATTGAGCAGAAAATATTTAACATATTGTAAACAAGCGTTCACTAAGCATTCAAAACAAACAACCATTTCCTGGACCTAAGGTTATATGAACTTTTTTTCTTTTTATCGGATGACGAACTGAAGCCAACGTTGGCGCATGTTGTTTTGAAACACCATGTAAATTATATTTTATAAAGGCGTTTTCGGATTATAACTTACTAAAAGTTTATGAGTCCAATTCCTTCCTTCGGTTTATTGACAGTTGATTGCAATGTTCTTATAGTTTTCTCTAAAATAATGTCCGTCGATAAATAAATAATTAACTAAATAAACGCACCACACCGTGTACAGGGTGCTTTAACCAGAGATACGGCAAAGATAAAGCAATGCAATGTTATTTATTTATTTATGCATGGTTGATAGAGATCTGCAAAAATATTTTCAGGGGTTTGTTTCAATCAACATAGGCCATATAAAACTCAAGCTAGACATTCAAAATTAATATCATAGTTAAGCAAAGGTTCGTGGTATGTGTTCAATGTGATATTTTCAAAATAGGTTATACAGGGTGTCGGTTATAGTTGTACAAAATAAAAATCTCCCTGCAACGCAGCAACAGAATTTAAAAAATCTGATTTAAAAATATGCAAAATTTGACAATAATTATTTTTTGACTCACCCTGTATAATTAAAAATATTTTTAATTTGTAAATCTTCATCGATCTTGTTGATGCATCTTATATAACTGCTCAAAGCGACCGCAGGTAGCGAATCAAGATAGTCATTTGTCATGGACATTTTTCCGGGGTAATTTTTAAAATTCGACCACCGTGTGCCGTTACCAGTAATCGTTTCTGCTATTGACTACAACGTACCACGTAATATTTTAAATTAAAACGGTGTTCTCGCGAGGATGTTGACGTAGAGGATGTGGTGGCTGCTGCTGTCGGATTATCGGCGCAAATTTCATTAAGTGAATCAGGAAAAATGTCGAGAAATCACGGGGCCGCGAACAGTGTGACGTCGTGGCTGAACACGCTGAAACATTCGATCGAATATTATGAATTCGAAAAAGAGAATTTCGGCCACCCAAGCATGCCTACGGTCTACGAAGACGTAGAACCGATCGAACCGGAAACGCCCTACATGAACCTGTGGGATTGTTCTACCAACTCCGTCGAAGATCCGATTGAGGAGTACATTTTTCCTTTCGCCGACTTCGACTTGGAGGATTTGGTGCTCGAATCGTCGCGATCTCTGAACTTGAAGTTCGCCAAAGAATGTAGAATAAGCGGCGTCTTTGAGGAAGGCGTGGTGGAGGATTTGGAGGTGTCGAACCCGGTTCCGGAAACTTTGGAGGTCAACGAGGAATTGGCGATATACGTGAAAGAGGATTCGGTGTTTTGGATCGATCGGTTGCGGTTCGAGTGCGTGGACGAGGAACCCGACCTCATGGAGGGACAGGTATTTGTTTTTGTATTTTTCTGGTTTCGCAGAAAGTGCGCACACACATTTTAAATGTTTCATTGCAAAATTTATATAAACCGGAATAACACAATGCACATTTCTATAAGGTTCATGTAACGTTTTGCTAAAGTGTGCGATAAAGTACCTACACATCCATATATACATTCCCAACAGGTAAGGTCTGTTCATAGATATAAGAAACTGACCAATTGCTTTTGAATGGGATTACCCAAGGGTGGTCAATAACATACAATGCAACAAGATTATTACCTAAAGTTTCGGAATTTAAATTCAGGTAAAATTGTGGTCCGTAATAGAAAATAATATTATACCTATCTGTGTTTAATATTCTTTGGTTTGGTATGCTATTTAGTTTAAGTTTATTAGTAATCATTCTTATTTCGTGTGTAATGCAGCGTGTGTGTTCCTGCCCAAATGTAGAAAACACTATTCTATTGAGACTAAGGAAGTTATAAACAATGTTTATTTGACTCTCATTGAACGTGGTGCCAGAAAGCAAGCATCTTTAGAAGAAACGGCCACATTGACGAAAATTCCAACATCAACTGTATGGAAAATTGTGAATAATCCCATTTCAGCGAAGAAAAAAAGAAGCGATGCTGACATTTTCTCGAGTGTAGATGAAAGTGATCAAGATGTAATACGGCGTAAAATTCACCAGTTATACGAGGAACAAAGCGTGCCTACATTAGGTATCTTAATTAGGAGGCTTGAAAAAGATGAAACCGGTGTTAAATGTGGCAGAACTACCTTATGGAAGTATATTCAACACATGGGTTTTAGATTTAAAAAAATTGACAAAAGGCAAGTTTTAATGGAATCTTTTAGAATTCGGAAATGGCGACTTGAATATCTAGAAAAAATTAGGATTTACAGGCAAAGGCCAATTATTTACTCGGATGAAACCTGGTTCGACACTTATGATACCCCGGAAATGGGGTCGGTTGACTCATCTGATAAGTGTAAAACAAACGCGCCATCATAAAGAGGTAAAAGAATAACTATTTTGCATGGTGGCTCTAAAGGTGGTTGGATTCCAAATGCGAAAATGCGAAAAATTTATAGATTCTTTTCTGGATTACCATGAAGACACCACCGCTGATTTATTTGAAAGTTCCAAACATTCCTCCTAATAGCGTAGTTGTAATGGACAATGCAAGTTATCACAGTAGACAGTTGACTAAACCCTCTTCCTCATGTGACACAAAAGCAACAATCCAAAACTACATGTATAATAACGACATTTATTTTCACGAAAATTATACCAAAAAGCAGAACAATCGTATATCCATATTGCAAATAATATAGAACAAATAATTATTATAGTGATACTGATATATTATGTGAATAATTTTAAGTAATTTAAGTAGGTAATGAAAATAATTTTATTTTAGATTTAAACATAAATAAATAAATTTTGTTTAGTATCTTTCCTAACAAAACCCCAAATAATTAAATTACAAGCAAAGTCCGGACCTGTTCGGCCATATTTCATTCTTACAGCTTGCCCTGGTCTTTCCTTAATTCTTATATCTATGAACAGACTTTACTTTAAAAGTGTCGTGTCTCCAAAAATTAGGTTAAGAACGTCCTATCAAGCCTCTTTGGTATAGTCTGTCTCTCTCTTCATCTTGCTGACTTTTGCCCGCAATTGGTAATAACATCGTTAAAGTTTTATTGGGGAGGGTCCGCCAGCACGATAAAGATTGAGACAGACTATACACTTAAGACGTCTATCTGATTATCAACAACTAGTCAGCGGTAATGTCCTGTCAAAACCTCTTTGTCAGGTGCTGATTGTCGGCTTGAAACATCTTCGATACCTTGTTTATGTAAACTTAAAAATGAAAATATAAAATCGATTTTTTTAAATAATTATATAAATAAAGTTTATTTAACAATTTTCGTTACAGTCAAAGACATTATATCCAAATCATACACGATATGCTTGGTGCGATAGAACGGATTGTTCACGATCTCAAAGCTTTCAGTTTGTGCTGTGCGATGCCTTTACATTTCACTCACTAACCTGCACTTTGCGCCATTTTCACTTAACGCGTTTTCCCAGAACATTTTACGAGACCTAGACAATTTTGGGAAAATCTTGCTGTGAAAACGCTACACTTATTGACGATCTGTCAGCAAAGTCATTGGTTAAAAACGAAATTTTAAATCTTGCTCATGCGTGTTTTGGAATCGACCTCCTCAAAATTTTTGTCATAGTTGCTTACCAAGTTCCTGCATTATTGTCACAAGCAAACTATGTGGTTACAATATAACGGTATTCTTATAAATCGTTCGAAAATATATATTGTGGTAGGAGAAACTGCACTCATATTGAATACTATGGACCAAAAAACTGGTGACAAAAAAAATTAATTAATTAAACTAAAATGTAGCGCATAAATAATTCAACGTTATTATTAAAAATCGGAAGCCACCAGAACAACTAATTTAATAAAAATAACGATTAAGTCATTTATTAGGAAATACAAATAGAAGATGACTGTTCTTGCCAGAATGCGTAAATCGTTATCTGCTATTATTGTAGGTATGATTTTTATAAATAAATTTAAAATTTCCCTTGTTTTATTGATAAAAAGGCGTACAAATTCTAGAAAAATTAATTCAATGTAAACTGGAACGACAAATTCGCTACCTCAATGGATTATTGTAGACTATGGATATTCAGACTATATGAGAAAATGGGGAAAATTATAATAATCAAAAATCAACAAAAATGGTTATGCTTTCTGTAAATTGACTCATTTGAATAACTTTTACAATTTAATTGTGAATCAAATTAGATGATGTTGCGTTTTGCGCTAGATTAGCTACGGAAGTAGTCAAATTTATAGAAGATTGCTAAAAAAATTGTACAGAGAAGTGGAAATGTCATACGGATTCCAATTAACTGTTAATAATATTGTTAAAATCAAATTATTTGGCACAACTGAGAATTAAGCCAGATTCAAATTACAATTTGGTGGATGCGCCAGGTACTTGATATTGTCTTCCATAGGTATATTTAATTGTAGTACATCAGTACTTAGTTCTTTTTGACGGAGCATGTAACATAAGATAACAAATTAGTCGTGCAAATCATTCATTATATTGTTACTTGGTTGTCGGTTATTAAATATACGAATTGAAATTTTAAATGGGATGTAAATATTTTTCTTTCGCTATTCCCATTTTCATCAGCGTATAATTTTGGATAATAAATATTAAATCAATTATTTTATTCACGTCTAATGTCAAAAATTGCGCCGTTTTCTTTCTAAAAAGCAACCATGTTGGTTGTTGAATATCGCAATGTTATTGGCTAAAAATGGAAGTCTCGCGCATGTGTATGTTGAATGGACCTTGTCAATTTTTTTTCTATCCACGCTCTTTAATTTGCCGTAGTATCTACATAGGTAGAGCATCTATATCTCTAGTAGCTATATGGTTATACCAAATGTGAATGTGGTGTGAACATATATCTGTTTCCTATACCGCATATTCAAAAATGCTTCCCTACCCAGATCCATGGTATCGCATATGAGCATAAAAAGGCATTTTCTCATATATGAAGAGCTTTTATTTTTCAATTTGCGCTAGTGGTGGATGTTGCTGAAAGAAGATATTACGCAGAAATAAAAAGTGTGCTTAAATGTATTTATTAATTTTAAAGATAATTCGATGTCTACATTTTGTTTACAATGCACGGCATCTGAGTCACAATGACTTAAAAAGTTTACCAACCTGTTGCACACTATACTTTTTCTACTACCCTACGCGAGATCGGTGTATAATTCGGTATTTTAGAGAAAGAAGTAGAAAAAAAATAATTTCTTGAAGTGATTGTTATTGCTGGGATCTCGGTAGGAAAAGGTCTTTGCATAGTAAACTTGAGTTTATTTTCCACCCCTTAAAATCCATGCGCTGAATTTCTGGGCATCCTATATTGAACTTAGTGTTACATATTTTTGAAAAGCCTAATAAGAAGATCGACAAAGGAACACAAGGAACAGTTTTCACCTTTTCGATAAATTTACGGATAACCGAGCCACAAAGCAAATGCAAAACTTCAAATTACCCTGTATCTGAAAATCCAAAATTTCAGTTTGTCACCTTTCATTTTATCAGAACGTAGTCTTGAGTCACTAAAGCCGCAATACGGTGGCTTTATTAATAAAGGAGATAAGATGTTGAGTCATTAAAAATGGGACGCGCTATATATATTTTCAACGCAAATAATTTCAACAAAAGATAGTGCTCGTTTGACAAATTTATTACCGCAAATTTACCTTACGTTGACAATGTTTGTGGCTTAACTAATTTATAGGAGTCGTTGTCCTAGTTCGAACACACCTAACGCCAGCTTTGATTCTCAAATAATTAAAAGTTATTCCGTAAATATATATATTTTTAATTAAAATTTATGATTTTCGACATAATTGGAACTGAAAAATCGGAATTATGGAAATAAATACATATAAATTACAGCCTCACGGTGCGAAATTAAAATTTCGATCGCATCAGCCACATGTACTTTCACTAAAAAGAAACCGGAATGAATTAGATGCAAAGACCTGATAAGTATTTTCGGTAACTCATCTAGCCTTACAACGTTTCGAATTGGCATAAAAATTAGAATTTTTCAAAGAAACTTCCACAGGCTACTGTAATACTATTTACAAAACTTCTGGATTCCTCTTGCGTCTGTTTTGGCTGAGTCGAACTTGCGGAGGTTTCGTCAATCATCCTGTTGGCTTCTTTAGAGCTTGGCTAAAACCGTTTCAACCGATGCAGAGAGAAATCCACAGGTTTTGTAAATAGTAAAAATTGGAATAAATTTCAAAAATATACAAGGTGTACAAATATCGATTGCTTGCTCACCCTGTAGTAATTTCAAAATATCCGCTCAATAGGTCCCGTTCTACAAGGAGCCCAGCCAAAACAAAATAATTTAAGCCGTTTATAATTAAAAG